ACCCTGAACAAACTGTTCTCGGGCTGCTCTCTGCCCCAGCCTGCCCCAGGCGGCTCCCCCACCTCCTGACCAGCCCTGAACTGAAGCTGCCCGATCAGCTCCTCCGGAGAGTTTCCTGTGAACCACACTCGCCAGTTACTTAACTTCCCAGCTGCTCTGACTGCAAACCCCTCTGACCGCAGAGAAGCAGCGCCTGCTTCTGTTTGGTTGTGAGGTGCTTGCAGGTATCTGAGAATGAGCCTGCTCCCTGTGCAATGGTCTTTTTGAATGAAGTTTCTTTTTATCTTAATCTGGATCTGTTGTTGTTTTTTATTTCTTTTTAAAATATATATTTTATTGATTTCTCACAAGGAGGAAGGGAGAGGGGTAGAGAGCCAGAAACATCGATGAGAGAGAAACATCAATTCAGCTGCGTCCTTTACACCTTCTACTGGGAATGTGCTTGCAACCAAGGTACATGCCCTTGACTGAAATCGAACCCGGGACCCTTCAGTCCACAGGCCAATGCTCTATCCACTGAGCCAAAAAGGCCAGGGATGCTTTTTTGTTTTGTTTGATTGTATTTTTAATGTTTTTATTGGTTTTATAGAGAGAGGGAGAGCAAGAAACATCGATGATAGAGAATCTCTCCTACACGCTCCTACTGGGGATTAATTCTGCAACCCGGGGCATACGCCCTGACTGGGAATCTACCAGTGACACTCAACCACTGAGGCACACCGGCCAGGCTGGGTCTGTTTTTATTTGCCATTTCCACAAAGTTCTTGTAGATTTTTCATTAGGTTACATCCTAGATTCCTTATAACTTTGATCCTTTTGGGTAAGATTATCTGATTTTCTGTTAACTTCCCAGTTGGTTATAGAAGAATGCTATTGATTTTTTAATTAATTAATTAAAAAATATTTTTGCTTTCCAAGAGGGAGAGGGAGAAAGAGAGAGAACATCAATGATGACAATCATTGATAGGCTGCCTCCTGCACACCCTCCACTGGGAATCTATCCCGCCCCTCAGGCACATGCCCTGATCGGAAATTGAACCGTGACCTCCCGGTTCATAGGTCAATGCTCAACTATTGATTTTTTAAAATCAAGAGAAAACTCACATACCACAAAATGGCTTTTAGTAGACGTGTGAGGCTGTGCAGCCGTCATCACTGACCCCAGACCATCTCACTGTCCCTGAGCGAAACCCAGCGGTCAGTGCAGACTCGCTCCCCTCCCTGCTGCCTGTGGATATGCTGAGTCTGGACTTTTCCTAGGGAAATGGAGTCATAAAGCGCGTGGCCTTTGAGCCTTTTTTCACTCAGTGTCCTGTGTTCAAGGTTTACCCGTGCTGCAGCGCGGATCGGCACCTCATTTGTGTGACTAGCACTCCGCTGTCTGATGGACCACATCTCGCGTACCCGTTCCCCTCTCTGCCCGTGTTCCTGAGCAGCGGGAGGAGCAGGGCTTGCTGAGCCTGATGGAAGCTGGGTGTCAGCCCACACGCGCTCTCTCCCCTGCCTCTGAGCCCTCACCACCTGCCCGGCTGTGCACGGCGTTCCCGTTACTGAGCTTCCTGAAAGGATGCTGGGCAGTCTGGGGAGTGTGTCTGTGGGGAGAAGCTTGGACAGGTCCAAGCCTCGGACTGAGGAGAGGGCACAGGCCTCCTGGCCACGTGTGAGCCCAGCGTGGAGGGCAGGGCCCTCAGCACAACCACAGCCAGCAGCTGGGCTGCCAGCGTGAGCCTCTGGTCCGAGCGCGTGGCCCCGGGCGCCGCAGTGACGTGGGCCTGGCAGAGGTCCGGGGCAGGTGGCTGAGGAGGATGGAAACCACGAGAACGCTGTGAACGTGGTGGCCACGCCCTCCTTTGCCGCGTGGCACCTGCTGTGAAATACAGACGCGGCGTGCGGGCGCTGGCGCCGTCTCTCAGGAAGCAGTGGCCCACACAGACCCAGCTTTCACTCCCTCGTCCGTCTTTCCTAAGCCTTCCGGCCGCCCCCTCTCAGGGTCACCTTCGGCGGTGCTGGCTCGCACATAAAGAGATATAGGAGGCCCGAGCTGGTGCGGCTCAGTGGATAGAGCGTCAGCCTGTGAACTGAGGGGTCACAGGCCTGCGTTGAGATCTTGATTCCCAATGGGGGGCGTGCAGGAGGCAGCTGATCAATGATTCTTTCTCATCATTGATGTTTTTCTCTCTCTCCCTCTCCCTTCCTCTCTCTCTGAAGCCAATAAAGAGAGAGAGAGAGAGAGAGAGAGAGAGAGAGAGAGAGAGAGAGAGAGAGAGAGAGAGGAGCCATGGGCACTGTGGCTCCACTGGTCGCCTGCTGTGCCATGCACGGAAAGGTTGCTAGTCCGATTCCTGGTCAGGGCACATGCCAGGATCGCCAGCCAGGGGCGTGCCTCAGCTCATGCATGCTGATGTAGCTCTCACATTGATGTCTCTCTTTCCTCTTTTCTATCTCTAAAAAGCAATTTAAACATCTTAAGGGGATACACCCCTATGTTCATAGCAGCACAATTCACCATAGCTAAGATTTGGAAACAGCCAAAACCGGTTTGGCTCAGTGGTAAAGCGTCGGTCTGTGGACTGAAAGGTCCCAGGTTCGATTCCGGTCAAGGGCATGTACATTGGTTGCGGGCACATCCCCGGTGGGGGGTGTGTAGGAGGCGACTGGTCGATGTTTCTCTCTCATTGACGTTTTTGGCTCTCTATATCTCTCCCTTCCTCTCTAAAAAATCAATAAAATATATTAAAAAAAAAAAAAGATTTGGAAACAGCCTAAGTGCCCATCAGCAGATGGATGGATTAAAAAACTGTGGTACATCCACACAATGGGATACTACACTGCGGTAAAAAAGAAGGAACTCTTAACCATTTGCAACAACTTGGATGGAGATGGAGAGCATTATGCTAAGTGAAATAAGCCAGGCGGAGAAAGATAAACATCACGTGATCTCCCTCATTTGTGGAATATAATGAACAACACAAACTGCTGAACAAAAATAGATCCAGAGACAGAGAAACATCCATCAGAAGAACCTCAAACCTCAGGGAAGGTAGGGGGGTCGGGGAGAGATCAACCAAAGGACTTATATGCATGTATATTAACCTAATCAATGGCCACAGACAATAGGATGGTGGGGGCATAAATGAAAGGTGGGGTTATGTGGGAATAAGGACACATATCTAATACCTTAATCAATAAAAAAATAATTAAAGACATTAAAAAACATATTGGGGGGGGAAAGAGCGAGATAGAGGAGGAGAGTTCTCTTCCTGCTTCTGCACGTCCCTGGGGGAGGGGAAGCTGGCAGGCGCTCCAGCCACACTGCCATCCCCAGCGCCAAGGCTGGCTGTGTGGAAAGACAGCCCACGCCAGGTGAACCTGGAGCCCGAGGCCCACTCTGCCCACCTGGAGCTGTCTGACCCGTGGGCATTCTTTTTTATTTTTTATTTTATTGATTTTTTACAGAGAGGGAGAGAGATAGAGAGCTAGAAACATCAATGAGAGAGAAACATCGACCAGCTGCCTCTTGCACAACCCCTACTGGGGATGTGCCCGCAACCAAAGTACATGCCCTTGACAGGAATCGAACCTGGGACCCTTGAGTCCGCAGGCCGAAGCTCTATCTACTGAGCAAAACCAGTTAGAGCAGCCCTCTGAATTTCTGACATAAACCTGGAGCTCCCCTGTTTAGAAGAGTAACAGGGTAAAGGCAATGAGAACTCTTTCTGAAGAAATGTTTGGGCATCCCAAATAAAGGGCAGAATGCTGTTGGCCAGTGCTGCTCAATGGTTAGAACGCCAGCCTGTGCACCGAAGGGTCTAGGGTTTGGTTCCTGGTCAAGGGTACTTGGGTTGCAGATCCAATCCCATCCTAGTTGGGGCACGTACTGGAGGCAACCAATCAGTGTGTGTCTCTCTCACATTGACATATTTACATCCCCCCTTTTCCCTTTCACTCTCTAAAAATCAATGCAAAAAATATTCTAGGTTAAGAATTAAAAAAAAAAAAAAAGAAGTCCCCTCAAAGGTGCCTAGTATGTCTCAGTTCCCAGAGCCCATGAATATGTAATTCCCAGGGCAAGCGGGACTTTGCAGGCGTGACTGAGGGTCTTCAGACGGACGATCACCCTCTCTGAGCACATGGGCCCGGACAGGCAGAGAGCCTTGCCCGGCTGCGGGCAGAGCTGTGCCAGGGCGAGGGTCGGAGCTCAGGGTGGAGGAAGAGGGCCCGGCCTGGGAAGGAAGGAGGCCCGAGGAGCTGGCAACGCAGGAAACACAATCTCCGTTCTCCCAGAGAGGAACGCAGCCCCGGGAACAGTCTGTTCGTCCAGGGAGACCCACATCCCCCTGTGACCTCCCGAATGGCCACAGATTGTGTTTCAAGCCACTGACTTTGTCTGATTTGTACAGCAGCCTGGAAAACTGAGGGTCCCTTGGGACACAGACGCCAAAGGAAGCCCAGAGGGAAGCCCTCAGAAACATCTCAGTAAGGCCCGGGCTAATGAGGTGGCGTCTGAGCGGCTTTGGGCTGTTTCCTGGGAGCCACTTCCTGAGTCACAGCTGGCTCTAACTAGCCTTGTCCTCACAGGGCAGCGGGGCCAAGGACACGGCGAGACAGCTCTGGGAGTCTCTAGAAGGGCACCAATTCCATCCACGAGGGCCCCAGCCTCCCGATCGGATCACGTCCTAATGCCATCACCCCGGAGCCCAGGCTGCAGTGTATTGCTTCTGAGGGGAGTATAGTTAGGGCTCCAGTTCCTTTTCATCCCTACAAGCCCAGCTGTCCCAGAGCGGTGTGGTGTTCAGGCGGGGCCGGGCCTGGGTGGGGGACCGTGTATCTCTGTGTACTGACTGGTCCAAAGCCGAGCAAGGGAGCTGTGGATGCAGTCACTCAGGTGGTGGTGTCACGAATGTCAGCCTGGGCGGCACCGGGCCAACAGGAGACGGCCTCCCACCCTCCTGGTTAGACCGGGGCACAGCGTGGCAGGAGCAGGACACGAGACCACAGACTTTTTAAAATAACTGCATCCTTTAATGGCAGTAATACAATTATTGGATTAAGAGACCACAGGAGAAAGGGCAGGTTTCTGGAAGACAGATACAGAGTACAAAAAGGGGGTGGAATACAGGCATGCGACAATCATTGTAAAAATACAGTACGTTATATACATATTTGCACCATCAACTTTCTGAAATAGTATTTACACTTTTGTTACAATCCTGGTTAGAGAACAATTTTTTTTTTTTTTTTTAAAAGCTTGGCCTGATGGCAAATGAAAATTTTGGGTAAATTCATAGTCCCATGAGGTTCTTAGGCTGAATACCCAAGGAGGGCTCCAGCTTCTATTTCATCCACAAATTTGTTTAAAAAAATTATTTAATTTGCGTTTACAAAAGAAAATCCCCAGAGAAGGAAAACCCCCACAGCCACACTGCGCATTCTTACTTATTGTACAAACACCACGCAGCAGCCTCTGCTCAAGGCCCACGTGGGCGGCTGAAGAAACATCTAATGTTTAAAAAAGCAAAACAAAAAGACAAAGACAAACCAAACCAACCTGATCACAGCGCACTGGCCTGTGGGGCTGCCTCTCTGGCCTTCGCTTCTGGCCCCAAACTACTATTTTCTTCCCGGGGAGCGGGGTGGCATCGCAGCTGTTCGCCTCCCACCCCAGGGTGCAAGGAGGGAGCCCTCGGCTGGGCACCAGGGTTCCTCATTATTAGCAAGGGAGATGGGCACGGCCGAGGGGCGGGATGAGGGGAGGGAGGAGCCGGATGAACACAGGTGGAGGGACCCTGAGGCACTCCCCCAGGCTGGGTCCATGGGAGCCGGTGCAGCTGGAGCAGGAGCAGGACACAGGTCTCCGGTCCCACACCCTCACCTGCAGGCGGGGCCCTGAGCAGCCCCACCCGCCATGGCTGCTCTCCAGCCCGCCCCCAGGCCCTTTAGGGGAGTGCCCGGCCCCGCACCCTGACACGCCTCTGAGCTGGTGCACCTCCGCTTAGCAGAAACCCGAACTCGTCGAGACCACAGGCCCCACAGACATGGCGCAAAGAGGGGCGCAGGGAGCGGAGACAAACACTGCCCGGAACCAGCCAGGCCTCCTCCTCGGGCCTGGTGGGCGGCCATGCCACGGATCCTTGAGCTGCCCCCAGAGGCCAGGCCAGCACCGGGGCGCTGGCTTCTGGGGAGCAGGACAGCCCCTGGCAGGAGGGGAGAAGGGCACGGCCGACAGGGCAGGAGGAGCTAATACTGACGGAGACGCCACCTGCGCTGCCTCCCGGGGCCCTGCCCCGCAGCCCAGCCTCCGGCCCTCACCCTGGCGGCTGCTGTCCAGGCCTGAGTGCGGCTCAGGGCGAGGGCCAGGCGGGGACGGGCTGCTGCTTCCGGGGCGGCTCCCAGGCTCTTCCCTTCCTGGGCCGTTTCCACCCCCTGGCCCCTAGCGGGTCCTGCCTCGGTCCTGGCTACATCCCGCCTCCTCATGCAACACGGGGAGCGGGGCTCAGGGCCTTCTCAGCGCCTACTTTGTCCTGCAAGAGGGGGAGGAGGAGGGGCCGAACTTGTCCAGAAAACAACTGGAGCCCCAGTCTCCGAGGAGTCCCTGAAAGTTGGGCTGGCCAGGCAGAGCACCAGCTGGCGACTTGCAAACTGTCCATGTGCACAAGTGAGTTTTCTTGGCGGGAGCCCGAGCCCTGCAGCACTGACCAAAACTGAAGATGGTTATATACAATTTATATGTTTTAAAAAGGAAGTATTGCTTAAAAAAAAGGGGGGGGGGTAGGGGGAGAGCAAGAGCAAGAAAGAGCAGGAGAGCAAAAGAAAAAGAGGGAAAAAGTAAAGAAAGAATACCCAGACGCCCCTCCCTCCCAGTTCCCAACTCCGGATGCTGCACTTAAATATTGCCCTAGGAAGGGTGGGTGTAGGACAGCTCCACTCCGACTTAACACTACTGGCAGAAGGGGGAGGCGGTGGGGTCAAAGCCTTTGAACACATCTTTCAGGGACCCCGCGTCCTGCTCGCCCTCCCGGGCGGGGCTGTTGCCGGCGAATGGGCTCCCGGAGCCCGTCTTGGGCGCCTGCTTCACGGTCCCGAAGAGGGTGGGCACCGGCAGGTTGTGCACGCCGGGCTGGGGCGGGGCGCCCTCTGGGGGCGGGGTGCCCGCGGTGGCAGGGGGCGCGGCAGCCTTGGGCCGGGGCCGGTTGTAGCTGTTGTATCTGTCCGTGGCCGTGGGGGCCCCGTCCGCAGCGGGCTTCCCCGCTTCGGGCTGTTCCAGGGCGGACTTTCGGACGAACGGGGGCTCCTTGGCCTTGGCAGCCGCGCTCTTGCCGTTGCCCTCGGGGCCCTTGGGCTGGGCGGCCCCGTCGGCAGCGGGCTCCGCAGCTTTCCCTCCGGCGTTGGGAGTCCTGGGGTCGTACAGGCTGATGCCGCTCAGCACGCTGCTCTGCCCGCTCCCGCTGCCCTGGCCCAGCCCCCCGGCCGCCAGCACCCGGGGGTCGTAGGGGGCGGTGGCGGGGGGAGAGGACTCCCCGCTGGGGCTGGCGGCCGGAGAGGGGGCGTCAGCAGGGCCGGGCTTGGCGGCCCGGGAGGGGGCAGCAGAGTCTGCGGGTTTCTGCAGCCGGGGGTCAGCGGGAGGCTTCCGAACCCGGGGGTCGCTGGGCTTGTCGCTGGGGCCGGGGGCAGCGGTGGGGCCGGTGGCGCTGACAGTCTTGAGGATGCGCGAGAGGAGCTCGAAGTCGGGCAGGCTGGAGCCGGACGAGCCGGGGTCCGTGGAGGGGCCTGAGCGCGGTCGGGGGTTGGAGGGGCCCACGGTGGAGGCCCGGTGCAGCCTGGGGTCCAGGGCGGGCAGGGACTGCAGGGCGGCGGGGACGGGGGGCACCACCTCCTGCTTGGGGATGGGCAGGGGGATCAGGTCCTCGGGGTTCCACAGCACGGTGCGGGCGAAGCTCGGCTTGCTCAGGGTCACGTCCTTCTTGATGTGGCTGAACTGCTGCAGCTGCGACCGCGGGTCCCGCAGCGGGTGCCCGGGGAGGGGGTCCAGGGGGATGCTCACGGCCTTCTCCCGCAGCGCCCGCTCCCCGTCCTCCTCGTCCGCGGGGGGCGGCCCGGGCCCCTTGGAGCCGCTGGGGCCTGCGGGGCTGGGATGGAGGCCGCCTTCGGGCTTCGGGCCGGGCAGGGAGCGAGCCAGCCGAGGGTCGGAGGGCCCCGCGTCGCCCGGGCCCGACCCGCTGGAGGCCTCGGCGTGGCGCGAGAGCCTGGGGTCCCGGCTGAGGCGGGGGTCGGCCAGCCGGCCTCCCGTGGGGTGTGCCTTCTGGAGGCGGGGGTCCCCCAGCCCGCTGCCGCTCAGCTCCCCGGCGGAGGCCTGCGGCCGGCTGGACGTCTGCTGCCTCAGGGTCTTAAGGATGGAGGTGACGCTGCTCCCACCCTCGTCCTCGTCGCTCGAGTACCAGTTCCCAGTGTCACCTGAGAAAGAGCAGAGGAGCGGGGAGGGAGTGAGCGGCCGCCAATCCGCCCGCTCGGACCCCGGCAGCCCGCTGGGTGACCCCCTCTCCTGCCTCTCAGAGCCTCTCCTCTCCTCTCCCCAGCACCCGCCCCTCCACCACAGCCGGAGCGCTCAGGCCGGCGGAGGCTGACATTTCTGATCTTGCCTCGTGTGCCAGCACTGAGCTAAATGCTTTGTCTGTTAGTTCTCACAAACACGGGAAGTGGTGTTACTTGGCCATTTGACAGATGAGAAAAGGGAGGCACCAACTGTGCCCTGAGATGGGGGCAGAGCCAGAGTGAGCTCAGGCTCCAAGCCTGTGGTGCCGCCACCTCATTGCCCCCGGGCAGGCTCCGGCCCCTGACTCAGCTGCCCGGTGCCTGGGGCTCACAGACACCGCCCCAGGCCCCCAAGTTCACCCCGTCCCTGGGAAGGGCAGCCGCAGGCTAAGAGGCGGGGCCGGGGCAGACACGGACACTAGCCCAAGTCCAACCTCCTCACAATAAAACTGGAGCCACCAGAGGGCATAGCCCCTCACCCCACGGTGCCCACTTGCTCCCGGGCTCCTGTCATGTGACCATGCTTCAGGCTCTGAACACAGTTTGTCCTCCCCATTCCGCCCTGGGGGTGCCACCAGCCCCGCCACAGCCCATGGAACGTGGCAGCGTGTGACTGACGTCACTGGTTATGTCGGCGGGCTTCCTGAGAACACGGGGGGGGGGGGGATCGAGTCAGCTACTGTCTCCTCTAAGGGCCAGACCACTCCTTCCTTGATGGGATCAGGGTCTTTCCCGACCCCCCGACTTCCACTTTCCTGAGGGACGTGCAGCAGGCCCAGCCCGAGGCTGGGTCCTCGGCCAGAGGCTCCCTGCAGGGTAAGACCCATCCGGTGCTCCCCATCTTTCCCTGCGCGCCCGGGCCTGCGCCCTGAGGGAAGCCCTGCCCCTGGGGAGGACACATGCCTTCCTCATTCTCCCGGTCCTGCTTGCTGCTCTCAGCCAGCCTCCTCGCTCTCTCTTCCTCCTCCTGCTGCTTCTGCTGGATCCTCAGGTACAGGGCCCTCTGGGCTGAGGGCAGGAAGTCGGGGACACCGGCGCCCGGCTTCGGCCGGCCTGCGGGCCCTCCCTCAGAGAAGCTGTCAGGCTCCAGAGGGTGCTCGGGGAAGAGGTGCTCCCCAGGCTCCCCCGGCAGCTCTTCGTAGTGCCCGTAGTCCTCTGTGGCGGGGAAGAACCGAGGGTTCGTGTCGGGAAGGGCCTCGAAATGTCAACTCCAACCCGCCCGTGCCCTCACCTGAGACCCCCCCGATGGCGATGGCGATGGCGATGGGGAGGGTGTGCAGCCCGCCCCTCCTGCCACCCGGGACGTCCCCACAGAGAGCCAACAGCCCGGCGTGCAGCCAGGGGGGCAACGGGGGCTCAGTGACAGGGCAAACGCTCACGACGTGAATACAGGACGGAGCATCATACGAATGTTTGCAAAATGCAACGAGAAGGCTCTAGAAAGACAGGAAGCAGTCTCTTGAAAATGAGATTCAAGAGGCAGGGGCTAAGAGGCCTCTTCACTTTTTACTCCACGCACCCTGATCTGTTTTATTTATTTTAGGGGTTGTTTGTAATAATCAATAAAGAAGAACACTATCACATTGAGCTTAACAACTGGGAACGAGGCTCAAAAAGAAAAGAAGGGAAATACACCAAAACGATGCTGAGTGAAGTAAGCATGTCAGAGAAAGACAAATGTCACATGACCTCACTTATATGTGGAATCTAATGAACAATATAAACTGACTAACAAAATTGGTCCAGAGACAGGAAGCATGGGACAGACCGACGGATCTCAGAGGGAAGGGGAAGGGGGTTACAGGAGAGATTAACCAAAGAACATATATATTAATGCTTAGCTCGTGGACACAGACAATAGTGGGGTGAAGGCCTTGGGGTGGACAGGGGCTGGGTGGAGGGGAACACGGGGGGAAATGGGGGCCATCTAGAACACTCTCACCAATAAAAACATGTAGGTATATAAAAGATGATGATGCTAAGGCCACATCTCAACCCAGAAGCTCCTGCTGCTTCCTCTCAGCTTCCTGCGCCCCGAGAATGAACTGCTGCTGCATTTGAGGAGGGGACGCAGCTTGGAGGGCTGTGTGAGCATGTGTGCGTGTCTGTGTGTGTGCGAGTGCATATGTGCGCACGTGCGCATATGTCTATGTGCGTGTGTGTGTGTGTGTGTGTGTGTGTCCCTCTCGGAGATGGACACTGTCCCGTGAGCACTGCCCACAGAAGGTTTTGCAATGAGAAATGTGCCGTGCACCCACCACTGAAATTGTAACTTAACTTTACATACAAAATAATTCCATGTATGTGCAGAAAGCGAAAGGCCACCTAGTTCTGGCCACTGAACTCTGTCACATGTGAACTTGATGGGCAAGCCTGACCTGTGCCACACCCTGGTTCGGCACAGGGACACCTGGACCCTCGGTGAGCAGTCCCGCCCCCGCTCGGACCTTTTCATTAAGAGTGTGTCACTGCCTGGCCGGCGTGGCTCAGGTCAACAGATGAACCAGGTCATGGCTCAATTCCTGGTCAATTCCTGGGTTTCGGGCTTGATCCCCAGAAGGGGGCGTGCAGGAGGCAGCTGAACAATGATCGCCTCTCATCATTGATGTTTCTATCTCTCTCTCCCTCCTCCTCCCTCTCTGAAATCAGTAAAAATATATCTTTTTTAAAAGATGGTTGTGCACTTGTGAATACAGTAAGGACTCACTTAACGTTATGGATAGGTTCTGACTTTAAGCAAAATACAACAAAACCCGTTTTACCAGAGGCCAATCGATACAAACGAGCTCAGCTCCTAGGCCCCTCCTCAGCTGAGGGAAGGCTGGGGCCGCACTGCTCCTGGAGGACTGCGGTGCCGAGCAGCCACGGACAGCGCGCTCTGTGCGCCTTCCCGCCGTGGGCACTCACGCCGAGTCCCCTGTGCCGTTAACGGCTTGGCAGCCTGGCTTTCCTTCCACCCAGACCTCCGGCCCTGCACATTCCATTCGCATGTTCACAGGCGGGAGGGCTGTGGGGCCATCACCCCTCAGCAACCTGCTTTTCTCACTTGAGAACCTGTCCCATCGTTCTAAAGCCCCTGCTCCTCACCCAAACACCTGCTCTCACCGCTTCCCACCATCTGGACGCCAATGCCGCTCACATGGACCTCCAGCCTGCCGGTCTCTGACCCGCCTCCACGTGGCCCAGGCGTGGCTGCCAAATGGGCATCCATCTCACCTGACGTGGACAAAGCCGAAGCGCCGCCCCCACCTCAGCTCTCCGCAGGGCTGCCCATGGCCGGCGCCCATCCCCTCCTGTCCGCCTTGTAACACTACGTGAGGCGTCACGCTGGCCGTGGCGCCATCTCCAAACAGAAGCCACGCCCTGTTCCTGCTCCCTCCGGCTCGCCTCTGCCCAGGAGGCTTCCACGCCCGCCTACCACCCGCTGCCCCACTCCTCTGCTTGCTCCGGTCACTCTTCCAATGAGGTCACCTCGCCAGGGCGACAGAGGCCCTACTGCTGAGACTGCTCTCCCTGTCCTCCTTCCCAAAGCACACGCTCCTGGCTTTTCCGAACGAGCGGACCGCCTGGCTGTGCCCCCGCCTCCCCTCCCTGTCCCAGCTCACTCCCGTCACTCCTCAGACAGGCCTCTGCCCGTGTCCAGACCCTCCTGGCCCACCTCTGACCACCATTCTCCCCCAGCCCCGTGACTTCTAGCGTGATCAGTATGTACACGTTTCCTGCCTGCTTCCCTGCACTCCGATGAGGCTAAGGCCAGGACCGGGGCTGTCTCGCTGGCTCTGACCCCGGGGCGGGAGCAGATGAGCACACCGTTCCTGCTGAAGCCCCACGCTACCTCCTCTGGCCATGTGGCTCTCGCTGCTGACAATGTTGTTATTTTAATAAGAAGGAAGAGGGGGAAGGGGAGGATGGTCACACGTGGGGACAGAGCAAGCAGAACCACAAGGCTGACACTGGCAGCCCCAAGCCAAGGACCGCCTGGAAGGAGGCTGCTCTGGTGAGGCCACTTCAGCCTCTTAGCCCAGCAGCCTGCCACACCGGCCCTCATGACCTCGTGCTCCTGCTCCGGGAACACCAAGCAAGACATCTGCAAGGCTGAATTACAGTGATAACCGTAATACTCCCTTCAGCCTCACCAGGACAGTGACTCTGTCACGAAAGACATTCAGCCACGCATGGGACAGAGATGGAGTTGGACTCATGCTTTCAAAGGCTGGGAGGAGCGCGCGAATCTTTCCATGTCCCCTGTGTAAACCCAGCCACCCCTCTGGGCCCACACCCCGCCTACCTGCGTCCCCCATGAGTCCCGGCTCCATCTCCATGCCTTCCTGCTGCTGGTAGAAGTTTTCATAGAAGTTCTGGGCTGGTGGGATGGGGGGCATCATTCCAGAGTGTGGGGAGTCTCCAGGGCCGTAAGGCATCATAGGGGGGCCACCGGGTCCCATGGGCGGGCCAGGGTTCATGCCAGGGCCCATCGGCATGTCCGGGTGCATGTCGGGGTGCATGTCCGGATGCATGTCGGGGTGCATGTCGGGGTGCATGTCCGGGTGCATTGGGCCCCCCATCGGCCCCGGGGGTCCCATATTGGGCCCAGGGCCCATTGGCCCGGGGGGTCCTCCGGGTCCAGGGAACCTAGGAGAAGGAGGAAACGGTGCCTATGAGAGGGGCTGAAGGGCAGGGGTGGTGGGGGTCACACCCCTGAGGAGATGTGGGGCCCCAACATGGTGAGCAGCGAATGGCTCGGTGGTCCGGGAGGTCAGAGAGGCTGGTGACCGCTGCCCTGACCAGGCTCAGTGACGGGTCCCGCACTCACCTCACACCCAGCTTCTCAGCCAGCTGTCCCGTGGGCCGCACCACGATCTCAAACAAGGAGGGGATCTTCTTGTTGTACATGTCCTGCTGCTGCTGCAGCTGCTGCGGGGACAGTGGCTCGTGCACCGGCATGGGCATCTGCGGGGGCCCGGGGGGCGGGGGCGGGGGCGGGGGCGGAGGCGGGGGTCCGCCCTGCATGGGCCTGCCGTTGGGCGAGGTCGGGGCCGGGGGGCCGGGGGGCCGAGGCGGGGTGGGCAGGAGGCCCACCCCGGGGGGCGGTTTGGGCAGAGGGTTGATGCCCTGCTTCTTCAGTTCCTCGACTTCCTTCTCGTCCTCGGCGCCTGCTTCCGCGTCGTCCGCCAACATCTGCGGGGGAGGACAAAAGGGCGTGCAGTCAGGACAGGACAGGAGTCGGGTGCCAGGGACCCTCCAGCATATGGCCAACGACCACGAAGCCTCTGGCACATAAACCTCCCCCTCCCCCTGCCGGTCCCCCCTGACAGCGGGCAGGAGAGCCACAACTGTCCTGCAGCAAATTACAGTGCCATAAAACCTACGATTTCACCATTTTAAAGCGTACATTTCAGTGGCATTAAGTACCTTCATGAAGTTATCCATCCATCACCTGTCTAGTTCTAGAACTTTCCATCATCCAAAAGAAGCCCCTTACCCATAAGCAATCACTTCCCATTTCCCCTCCCCCTAGCCCAGTGGTCGGCAAACTCATCTGTCAACAGAGCCGAATATCAACAGGTCAACGATTGAAATTTCTTTTGAGAGCCAAATTTTTTAAACAAACTTCTTCTAATGCCACTTCTTCAAAATAGACTTGCCCAGGCTTTGGTATTTTGTGGAAGAGCCACACTCAAGGGGCCAAAGAGCCGCATGTGGCTCGAGAGCCGCAGTTTGCCAACCACTGCCCTAGCCCATGGCAGCCACTAATCTGCTATCTCTAGAGAGTTCCTGATTCTGGACATTTTACAGAAACGGAATCCCATAATGTGGGTCTTCTGTGACGGGCTTCTACCACTCAGCATGACATTTTCAGTTCCATGTGCCGTGCCTGGCTGAGAGGCCACCATCCTGTCTGGATTTTAAAAGCCTCTCACTGCAGTTGCCATCAAACTCCCATGGGGCCTGGTGGCAAGACTGGGTGCTGAGGAGGCAGCTTCATTTCCTTCCATGGTGCCCCCGACTCAACCCCAGCGCCCAGCCCCATGGCAGTCTGCCGGCAGCCAAGCTCTGCCCTGCGGACCAGGCTCCTCCCAGGCATTTGTTTCCGGTTCCCGGTGGACCCGTGCCCCCATGGATGGTCTCATTAAAGGTCAAAGGGTGACTGTCCAGGTCTCTGCATTCACTACGGGAACAGCATCAGATCCCAAGCTCTGTAAAATCACATTTTATTATATCCTTGTGTACTCCTGGCTCTACCCAGACCGCCAGCTCCATGAAGGTGGGACTGTGCTCTGCCCTACACTATTTCCAAGTCTGGCTTTGAGGAATGTCTCACCAGCTAGAGAAGTGGGAAAATAAAGCAGGACAACAGAAGTGGGAAAATAAGGCAGAACAATTTCAGGATAAGGTGGCTAAGTCCCGGTCAGGAGAGACAGCTCAGCTTGGACCACGGGCCCAGCCCTGGTGAACCAGCTGCAACCCAGTCTGGCAGGAAGGAAACAGCAGGGTCAGTCTGGGCCCATCCCAAGGCACACTGCAAGTTTTACTTCCTGACCACACAAATTCGATTCTAGGATGGTTTTTCTAGGTTCTACACTCATTTTTAACCCACTGAGACTTAACCTTATATAGGGGATGACGTCAATGTTTTAAAAATGTTTGTGGGCGGGAGCTCAAAGGGACACCTCATTTTCTTGTGTTTTTTTTTACGAGGGCGTCTAGAGCTTTGCTGTCCAATACGGTGGTCACTGGCCTTGTGTACTATTGAGTACTTGAAACGTGGTCGGAAGTACCAGGTTCTGAAGACATAGCAGTCTCCCCAAAATCTCACCTTTTGCCATCACTTATTACTTGCCAAAATGATTAGTTTGAACATGGATACCTTGAGCTAAGATAATGTTGTGAAAATTAAATTCATGTGTTTCTTTTTATTTAATATGGCTGCTAGAAAATTTAAAAGTAAGTATGTGTAGTTTGACCCTGGTGGGTATGGCTCTCTGGTTTGAGCGTCACCCCTCACACCAAAGGGTTGAGGGTTCAATTCTGGGTCAGGGGCACGTACCTGGGTTGTAGATCGGGCCATGGGTGGGGGTCATGTCTCTCTCACATTGTTTCTTTGCTCATTTCCCCTGCTGTCCCTCCCTCCCTTCTATTCTCTCTAAAAATCAATGGAAAAAATATCCTTGGGTAAGGCTTAGCAACAAAAACGTGTAGCCTGTCATTTGCAAGACTGGCCAATTTATAGCCATTTTGATATTTTTCTGCTCACATCATACAAGTTGTGCACTTATCAGTAAAACCTTCGTATTAAAACTGCTGCAGCACTAGTAGGTAGATAATAAAAAAGGAAAAATTAAACGTGGCTCTGGCGTGTTTCCTATTGGACAGCACTGGTCCACAACACCAACTCTGAACCTCCAGCAGGGGGCAGTCCTCAGTCAGATATTGTTCCAGTCTTCAAATGAGGAATGCAGTCACCATGACTTCCCACCGCTTACCCTGTGAAAAACTCAGACTCTAGTTATCTAGATGATAAAATCCTAGTCCTCCACAAAGGGCCTGGCCAAATAAAGCCGTTCTCCAATTTCCCTACCCCTCTGCCAATGGGAGCGGTCTTCTCTGGCTTTGCTGGTGCCCGCTTCCCCTCAGCTCCTCAGGCAGTGCCAGCAGCCAACTGGGCAGTCACCCAAGGATGGCTGATAAACAAAATCCTCTCCATTCTTACACACAGAGCCAGCTCCCCAGCCATCCGAGAACGAGAGGGCAGGCCAGCCCTCTTTAAAAGGCTACATTCTCTTGCTCATCCCTCGGACGGGTGAGGAAGCCAAGGACAGGACCTCAGTACTCCCCAAGTCCTGATGACTCCTCAGGGACAAGAAGAGATGAGGATGAGTTTCAAATGTCACCTAACAAGTCAAATAGCCCTGACACCGCACCGAGGGAAGAACTCTCCAACAAACACAAACCTCCAAATTCCCTGTAGTTTTTAATTTTTTACTGCTTAATAGAATCTTTACTGATTTTTTTTTTTTTTTTTAACAGAGAGGAAGGAAGAAAGGGATAGAGATCTAGAAACATCGATGAGAAACATCGACCAGCTGCCTCCTGCACACCCCCTACCGGGGATGCCCGCAACCAAGGTATACATGCCCTTGACCGGAATCGAACCTGGGACCCTTCAGTCCGCAGGCCGACGCTCTATCCACTGAGCCAAACCGGTTTCGGCAGAATCTTTAAAAATTTTAAGTAAACATTTGACATTTCCATAAAAATAAAAGCCATCACATCTCCTCTCCTCTTTGTGTACCATGGACTCTCTCTAAAGGATAGGAAAGAAATCACAGAATATGTTTGGAGACACCCCAGGCAACTCTGCTTTCACGCAGCCACCCCCATGCAAACGGCCCTGGCTGGAGAGAAGACGCATGCATGACCTCCTCTCTGCAGGCAAGAACACAGTCCCATGTCTTCCCTGAAATGGTCCAGCTCCAGATCAATGCCCCTGGAAATGACGGTCCCGCACAGAGGCCAGTGGGCGGGTGCAGAGCCATGTCAATGGAAGGCACGGGTCCTGGCTCCTGGCAGCTGTGGTGGTCGAACCCCAGACGTACCTTATCCAAGAGCTCTCTCGTCTCCTCGGTCAGAGGGTCGTGGGAAAACATGCAGTCGTCGCCATTGATGCAGTTCCCGGTGGTGTGGTATAACTTACACGGAAAATCACGTTCATGGCAAATTAAGGCAAACGCTTCATCTCATGGAACACACACACGCACCCATTCCTGAGGGCAGAATCCCACCCCGTGTTTTGGAGATGAGGAAATCGGAGCCCAGGGAGGTGAAATGACTTTCTCAGGGCTGCACAGTGGGTTGGCGGCAGACCAAAGATGAGACCCCAGTTCTCAAGACTCATGCTCCAGCGTGCTTCCCGCCCCACCACGCTGGCCCTGGGACTGGCCTCAAATCCTCACTCAACAGAAATGGGAAGTTCAATGATGTGCCCAGGGTGACACAGCCAGTTAGAAAGTCTCAGAAAGATAACAGGCAATGGCACAGGTGAGTCCCAGGAGTATATGTAGAGAACATATTAAAGTGTGCCTCAGTTTCCTCATCTGCAGAACAGGAACAGCAGGCCCGTCATCGGACAGATGTGAGGGTCAATGAGAGGCAGATGCACGGAAAGCTCGGCACTGCGCTGGCAGGCGAGAGAAGCGCAGTGGAGGGCGGCCGCTACTCCCAACAAGGAGAGCTCTGCCCCTGAACCAGAGCAGACGTGGGCACCGAAGGATATCATGCATGTAGGGGCAGTTCTCGGCTTTGGCACAGAACCCGGTGATGTAGAACTTGCACAGCTCTCGCTTCTTTGGAAGCTCGATGTCGTGGCTGAAGTTACAGTGGTCTCCCTGGAAGAGAAGCAGGGGAAGGTCAGGGGCGGGGCGGGAAGCCCTGGCTGACTCCTCCTCCAGGAAACGCGGCTCTGTCACCGCTGAAGCGGAGGGACCGAGGACAGAATGAAGACCCTTCCCTCAGGGAGCGGGCAGGTTTCCCACAACTTCATACTCTGACCGTGTGTGCTCCCCGGGGGCCTGCCTCCCTCTCCCACAGCCTCTTCCTCCCGCCTCTAGTCCTCGCCTTTCACTGCCTCCTTCTACCGAATGGCAACCCAGTATCCAGCCCATGCTCTCTCCTGACAGAACCCAATTTTGTTTGAGGAAGAATGTGCCCCGCTAAAAATATTACATTTCCCAGCTTCTCTTAAAGTTCTGGCGACAGGTGTAGGCACAAGTCCCTACGAGGACAACACTGCCCCGATTTTTTTAAATCCCACCACAGTTTCTATGGATGCCTTCAAGTTCAGTAACTAACCGGAATATGTACATCTCTGCATTAGCATCAATCTTAATACAACATTTGAGGCTGTACGAATTTGTTGAAAACTATGACCAAAAATATCCTCCCCAAACCAGAAAAACCCAGATGTCCTGTTGCTCCCGTCCAGGCCCCGAGGCACCTCTCAGTGGCCAACCGCTCCCACCAGCACCAGCCCTGCCCAGGGAGCGGCCTCCAGAGCACGCCCAGCGCCCGTGTCCTCCGGGAGCCGCCGGCCCTTACCCACGTGCACCGCCCCTCCACGAAGTATTTGCAGATGACTTTGCCTTTCTTGTCAGACTGTTGGTGGGGCTTGTCATGGTCGCGGCCCCGGTAGCTCCCGCCGCCGTCCTGTAGAACAGAGAGCACAGAGTGTGAAGGTGATGACGGGGAATGAAAAGCGAGGGTGGCGAGGGCCCGGCGGGTCAGGTGGAGACCATCTGAGCGTCCAGCAGCCAGTTCCATCAGACACCGAGGCCATAGGAGCCTGAGCCCACAATGTGGAAAGCTGCTTGGATAAGAAAATCTCTGGCACTTGGAGCTGTTGGCAATGAAGACTCGAGCGCACGCATTTGTGCAGGAACACATCCACCGCATGGAAGCAGAGGCACGTGCCTTCCTGCAAAACTCTCCAGGGAAAACTGAGTGGGTCATCTAGAACCTTCCGAGTCTTGGAGACTTGTTAGGGGTGACTGCAGGTTTTAAAAGACAGAGGGGCCGAAACTGGTTTGGCTCAATGGATGGAGCGTCGGCCTGCGGGCTGAAGGGTCCCAGGTTCGATTCTGATCAGGGGCATGTGCCTTGATTGTGGGCACATCCTCAGTAGGGGTTGTGCAGGAGGCAGTTAACCGATATTTCTCTCTCATCAATGTTTCTAACTCCCTGTCCCTCTCTCTTCCTCTCTAAAAAATCAATAAGTATATATTTTTAAAAATAAAGAAAGAGGGTCTTTTACCCTGGACAGTGATGCTCAATGGTTGGAGCACTGACAAGCACACGGAAAGGTTGCCAGTTTGATTCCCAGTTAAGGGCATATACCAGGGCTGCAGGTTCAATCCCCAGGACCTGGTTGGAGTGCGTGTTGGAGGCAACCAACCAATATGTATCTCTCACATCGATGTTTCTCCCCCCACCTCTCTAAAAGTCAATGGGGGAAAATACCCTAGGGTGAGATTAACATAAAAAACACACACACACACACAACAAAACAAAACACAAGAGAGGGTCTCGCCAGCAGTGCATTACTATGAGATGATCAGTGCTTATTGGCCCTACGGGAACGGCCACCGGGAGTCGGAGGCCAGGGTCAGCCTTAGAGGACAACTCATTAAGGGAACAAAATCCAAGGAGGGGCCTTGGCTGAGCACATCAGACCAGAATGAAGAGTTGACTCACGCCCATGTCATCGTCATAGAAGTCGTCGTCATCGTTCATTCCACCCTTGTTCATCCCTCCTCGGCTGCCACCTCGACCTCGGCCCCGGCCCATCCCTTTGCCTCGGCCTCGGGAACCCCGGCCACGGCCTCGATTTAACCCTGCGGAGGAGAGAAATGGCATCAGCCACTGCCCGTCCCCAGAACCCAACGCTAACAGCTGCCAGAAGGAGCCCCCCCACCTTCCGGGGCCCCTGCCCACCTCGTCCTCGGCTGTCCTTGGACCGGCGGTACTGGTTTAGCTCCTTGGAATAGTCGTCATAATCCTCATCGCCCATCGGTTCCTCACTTTCTCCATACTGGAATTTCAGAAAGCAGAAGAACGGTGTCACATGGAACGACGAACACTGTCCCTGACTATACATTTTGCCCCTTTGCCTTTTGGTTTCAAGGACAACTTCAGGCTCAGAAGAGCAGGTGAGAAATGTGGGCCCCGGGCCTGTGTCCCCTCCTCACGTGACCCAGCCTGAGCATGGGTGGTCTTACTCCTTTCCGTGCAGTCACCAGCCTTAAAGGCCCCACCCCCGGGGCAAACCCATCAGGGCACCTCTGTACACAATGGGCAGCTGTGCCGCTGGACAAAGACTGCAGAGAAGGCCTCGGCAGGGACATGGCAGAGAGTGTGGCGTCTCTGCGAGAGAGGAGTGTGCCGAGAGAGAGCACACGGCGCAGGGAGTAAATAAGCCCTGACTGCAAAGGCCCAAAACCTAAAACGCCCCCAGAGCCGCTCGGGAACCTTTCTCCAGGGCCGGGAACTAAGTCGCTGGGAAATCAGCGGGAAGAAAATGTAATTTTCACAGCTCACCCTTTGATATCTGTTCAGTTTGAATCCTATGAAAGTTTTTTCAATTTCGAAATCACACATGCACATTTAAAACACATGAACCTGCCTGCCATCTGATGCTTGCTTTCCTCCAGTGCAGTGAGTTTTACAGGCCACCCCAACAGGCCATGCAGCCCGCCAGCCATCCCCCCATCCGCGGGCAGCAGAAAACCTTACATCCATCTCATCTTCGTAATAGTCATCTTCGTCCTCTGGGTGGTCTCCCATGGAGCCCCGGCCCCGGCCTCGGCCGCCGCGGCCCATGCCTCGGCCCCGGGACCCTCCGCGGCTGCCTCGGCCCCGGTAGCCCCTGCCACGGCCTCGACTGCCTGCACGGTGATTCAGAAAGTGAACGCCTGGGCGGGAGTAGACCCCACCAACAAGAGATGTTAGCCCATTGTTTGCCCTGAGGTCCACCATTTCCTCCTCCTCCATGAAGCCTTCCCGGCCCCCCAGGCAGGCCAGAGGTCCCCCGGTGCCCTCGGTGGGGAGCCTCCGCATCGTGGGCACATGGCCGCTCCAGCACTCACTACACTGACCGCTGCACTGCACCATGTGGCAGGCACCAGCTGCACGTGGCTACTGAGCACCGGCACCGTGGCTGACCAAACCAAGGGATGCTGTGAGTATAACGTCCGTCTGAACGGCAAAGACTCAGTGGGGGGAAGGGGCGATGTAAAATATCACATCTGCCTAGTTTGCAAACGTGTTGAAATAAGGCTTTGAATGTATAAGGTAAATAAAATATATTGTTAAAATTCATTTCATCTGTTTGCTTTTTAACGGTGACTACTAGAAAAACCAAGTCACAAGGCGGCTTGCATTCTGCTCCCACAGAACAGCACTCATCTAGAATGTCTGCACAGAGCAAGGCCTGTCCAGGGAGGTGTCCGTGAGAGACTGCTGCAAAAAAGAAGGGATAGACAGCCACTCAAACAAGCTGGGCCTCAGGTGGGGATACGAACCTCTGATCTGGAAGGTTCTGGAAGACCCCCCCCTTAGGGTGGAAAATCTCACTGGCAGGAGGTGGGTCTAAGAGGCTAGGCTGGGCTTCCTGTGCGCCGCCCTCCCCCACCACCCTTCTAACGGCCAGGGTTCAAGGTCCAGGGTGTGGCAGGCCCGCAGGCTGCAGTCACACCTGGTCAGGTGATGTAGGCTGAGGAGGGGGAGGGGGACACTGCGGGGTGGAGCCCCACCTGGCCCAGATGAGAGAAGCTGCCTTTTCTTCCCCCCCCCCCCCACTGCTGACCAGGAAGTGAACTTTCCCTCTCGCTGCCTACCAGCCTGGCTCCATCCCAACCAGGGCCTCAGCCCGGGCCCTCTTCTCACATGGCTGACTCCCCAAGTCTCTCCTTCCGTACTTATCTCAGCCCTAAATGGCTGCCTGTCTCTCCTCCTGAGCATGGAGACAACCAGGCCTGCGCACTCTGCACCGCCCCTCCAGCCCCACCCCAGGTCTGCTCAGACACCCGGGAGCAGAAGCTGGGGCCTCACCTCGGCCCCGGCTGCTGCCCTCCTTGGCACGCCGGTACTGGTTCAACTCTTTGGTGAAGTCGTCGTAGTCCTCCTTGCCCATGTCCTCTTCCTCGTCGCCCTCGTACTCCCCGTACTGCTCGTTGTCATAGTCGTCGTACATGCCGTAGCCTTTGCTGTCCATCTTGGAGTAGGACTTCTTGGGCAGGGACGTGCTGTGTGACGGGGGGTACTGCTGGTGGGACTGCCAGGGAGAGGAGGGTGAGCGGGCCCCAGGGCCTCGGGTGCAGACCACCAAGACCCTCACGGTCCCTGGGAGAGGTCCATCCTCAAGCCACCGGGGACCGGTCCCCACCGGAGTGAGAGCTAAGCAGTAGGCCCAGGTGTTTCTGTTCTTCAGAAAGGGCTACGGCTTAAGAGAAAATGGAGAACAGAACCCACAATCCCTGAAGAACAAGGGGGAAAGTATTGGGGCATCGGGGGGGTATTTCCCAGGGCTATGGAGCAATCTCACTGGGGGAGGCGGCCTGGTAGGCAGAAGGGGTGCTTCCAGGTCAAAGTTTTCCTGAGGTCTTGGAATTCAACTAATTACCTGCTTGGCAACCAAACTAGAAAGCCATTTCAAATGATGCTTTCCCAACTGCCAGGAGATACTGGATCGAGTTAAATATGTATTATAAATCTACCACACACACACAAATGGAAGCCACCAAAATGTCCTCAGGCAATGAGTGGATAAACCATCTGCGGCACATCCAGGCAAGGGAGCATTTATTATTCAGCAATTTTAAAAAATGAGCCATGGAGCTATGAAAAATGGAGGAACCGTAAACTATGCTGCTAACTGAAAAAGCCAATCTGAAAAGGCTACAAACTGTATAGCCTGACTGACATTCTGGGAAAGGCAAAACTAGAGACTGTGGCCGAGACCGGTTTGGCTCAATGGATAGAGCATAGGCTTGGGGACTGAAAGGTCCCAGGTTCGATTCCAGTCAAGGGCATGTACCTTGGTTGTGGGCATATCCCCAGTAGGGGGTGTGCAAGAGGCAGCTGGTCAATGACTCTCTCTCTCATCGAGGTTTCTAGCTCTCTATCTCTCTCCCTTCCTCTCTGTACAAAATCAATAAAATATATTAAAAACAAAACAACAAACAAACAAACAAACAAAACAAAAAACTAGAGGCTGTGAAGGACTGGTGGCTGCCAGGGGCTCAGGGAGGAGTACAGCAGAGGGGACTGTCAGGGATCTGAGATATTTTATATGATAGTGCATGGGGAATACATACTTTATGCGTTTGTTAAAACCCAAAGAACTGCAAAACCCTAATATAAAGGTCTGAACTCTAATAACGAGTCAATATTGGCTCATCAATTACAACAAATGTATCAGCCACATTAATGCGAGATGATAAAACAGAAGAAACGGGGTGGGGTAAGGAGAGAGCTATTCTATCTGCTTAATTTCCTATGAACTTAAAACTGCTCTAAAATTAGTCTATTAATTTAAAATCACCCACACTCATTATAAAAATTTTAAAAAAGGAAAAAATACAAAACATAAGTAGATAGACATACACAACTACTTTAGCAGATCTTAAAATGCCCGACACCAGTTCCCAATGAAAGCTCACGGTGTTTCCTCTTTCCCTGCCTCCCTCAGGTTTAGTCTGAATCTGACATTGAATTAGATCAATGTCAACTATGCCTTACAATAAATTATCTGTAATAATGGATGGTGCTGAGTCATATGATAACTGGGACACCTTTAAGAGCTACTAGCTTTAAAAGTATTTTTAAAAATCAAAACTCGTGGATAGAGCGTCGGCTTGGGGACTGAAGGGTCCCGGGTTCGATTCCGGTCAAGGGCATGTACCTTGGTTGCGGGCACATCCCCAGGAGGGGGTGTGCAAGAGGCAGCTGATCGATGATTCTCTCTCATCGATGTTTCTAACTCTCTATCTCTCTCCCTTCCTCTCTGTATAAAATCAATAAAATATATTAAAAAAAAAAAAAAAATCAAAACTCGCCAAAACAGATTTGGCTCAGTGGATAGTGCGTCGGCCTACGGACTGAAGGATCCCAGGTTCGGTTCCGGTCAGGGGCATGTACCTTGGTTGCAGGCACATTCCTGATGGGGGTTGTGCAGGAGGCAGCTGGTCGATGTTTCTCTCTCATCAATGTTTCTGGATCTCTATCCCTCTCCCTTTCTCTCTGTAAAAAAAAATAAAAAATAATAAAAGATAATAAAAAATAAAAATAAATAAAAACTCAGAAAGCTATGTTGATGTTTTTTCTTATCAATTTTGCTGGAAGGTAGGGGTAACAGCATACTAACTGAACAGATAACTTTATGTTTGCTCAAGGTCAGAGAGATAATCTATTCCTATAACCATTTCATTCTCTTGCTCATTTTCCACAAAGGTCCTTTCTGAACAGCGTAAACAGTCAGCTATGGCAGGGACAAGCAGCATCTCTCTCGGGAACAGAGACACACGGCCAAGGCCACAGGAAGAGGTGGCATCCAGAAGTGCTGGCAGCATGGCTTACAGAGTTGGGTCACTAACTAGGTTCAAACCCCCACTCCTGCACTTCAGAGCTGTGAAACCCGCTTGCAGTTTTCTACGTCTCAGCTTTCTCACCTATAAAATGCGGATAAAGACAACACCTAATCTGCCCAGCTGGTGTGCTCAGTGGTTGAGCACTGACCTATGAACTAGGTCATAGTTCATATCCAAGTCAGGGCACATGCCCACGTTGCAGGTTTGATCCCCAGTAGGGGATGTGCAGGAGGCAGCAGATCGATGATTCTCATTATTGATGATTCTCTCTCTCTCTCTCTTTCCCTTCCTCTCTAAAACCAACAAAAATACTTTTATATATACGGACAACACCTAACCTTGCAGTATTAAAACCTGAGCCGAATGCCCCACAGAGTAAGGCGCGCAGTAAGCGCGGCGGCTTCACCCACGGAGCCCCGGACCAGCAGTCACTCACCGGCACGTACGGGGGGCTGCACTCTCGGTACTTGCGGTGCCCCTTCTCGCTGGGGCTGAAATCTGAGTCATCGGAGAAGTCGGAGAAATCATCGCTGGAAGACGCATGTCGCTGCAAGGACAGAAGCAGCGGACTTAGTGATTGTGCTGCAGGCAGGCCACTCTGGCGGCCAGCCCCGGGGCAGCACTGCCGGCCGTGCTCTCTGAGAAACACCTACCTACGGGCAGTTAGTGGCAATGGAGCATGGGCTACTGATCCCATTTGAGGAAGGAGAAAACAACGCTATTAGGAGGGCTCTCTGGCCTGACAAGACAAGTTAGGCCCCTGGGGCTCTCCGCCAGTCCACGCCAGGAACCCTCCGGACCTACCTTGTGCTTAGATTTCCTCCTCTTTTTCGATCTTCTCTTCTCCTTCTCCCGCTCTTTCTTCCGCTTCCGCTTCAGTCTCCTGTGAGACTTCTCCTCGTCAGAATCGCTGTGGTGCTTCTCCCCCTTTTCTTTCCGGCTCCGCTCAGGGCCTCCGGAGGTGTCCTGGGTCTCCTCTGCCCCATCATCCTCCAGTTCACCTTCTTCCAACTCACCATCTTCCCTACAAACCAACCCAAAGCCGCATGAACAGAGGCCGGAGAGGAACACAGGTCCGAGGGCTCTGGGCTGGCCGAGGCTGGCGGGAAGGGAGGGCCAGACTGCGGTGAAAGAGACCTGGAACCCCTGCCAGAGGCCTTGGAGGGACCTGGGGTCCACCGCCCCCCATCCCACCCCACCTTCCTCCCCAAGGACTGCATCCGCTCCCAGCTGTCCTGGCTGGGGGCGGGGCCGGGGCTGGAGCTGGGGGAGGGGACAGGGACCGGCAAGGATGGAGCAGCAGTTCCCAAACTGCTCCCTAGGACTCGAATTCTAAGAAGAAAAGTGACGAGGTTCTGTGGTCAAGTGAGTTGAGGGAATCCCCGCCTTGGGGAACCACCATCTTAATGCTGGAACAGAAGTTCCCAGAAGTCCTACAGTCAAGACACCTGCACAACCCGGCTTCCGAGCACTTGAGATGCACTTGACCGCAGAAGCGGTTCTCTCGGGGAACACGGACCAGCAGCCCTCCCGGGCGCTGTGGCCTGGGGTCGCCACTGGGCCCCAGAGCTGTGGACGTGCCCTGTGAGCTGAGGGCGGTAGCTGTGCTTCTGAACCAGGGGTGGCCTGCAGATTCCCGGGCCCTCCCCACAGGCAGGCCAGAGGACACACCGTGAACAGGCTCTGGGGTCTGAGCCACACCCTCAGCTCCAGGGCCCTGAGCTGGAGGCAAGGGGGGATTAAGAGGCTAAAAGGGGTCCCAGGCCCCAGACCCCTTGTGAGGTCCTCCTGACAGCCCCACCTCAGCTCACCCTGTTCCCACCTGACTTGCCTCACTCTGGGTACCCTTCTGGCTCCCAGTCTAGATTTCCTAACTTTTCACCCCCTCGCCCCCCAATACCTTCCTACCCCTAGTTGTTAAAAGACAGAAGCGCTCCCCTGACATGACAGATGCTGGGAATAGGATTCTAAATGTGTAAATATCTATGGGGTAGGGGGATAGAATGTGAAGGGGGGGGAGGGTTGGGGATAAATAGGGTTAAGAAAGTAGTAGCTGGGAAAAGAATCCAGTTTTTGAGCCAAACCCACAGACACAATACTCACAAGCACAGCAGCCGGTTTTAAAAAAATAAATAAAAATGTAACCGTTTTTAACATGTTCCCAAAGTTCTTCATGCATGGCATGGAGTATGTATGAGGCATAAAAAATGCCTTCTTCACCAGTCAAACAGGACCCAGACCAAACGGAGGGGACAGAGTAACGAGGCGACCGGAAGGCTGCCTCAGGGAACCCATCTGCGCAGGAAAAGCCTGGCCGCTCAGACGGGACAGGGTCCGGTGGGAACACGCTCACAGGCAGCTGGCCCGGGGGCGCCTGGCTCCCGCTGGCTTTGTGGGCAAGCAAACTGACTCCTCCCAGGACTGTCACTCCCTCCCTTTGTCTGCCTGGTGCTGCTCCCTAAGCATCAAAACCTTCCAGAAGGGCTGGGTACACTCATTCCCGGTTCAGAGGGGTCAGATCTGCTTAAAACAAGTGGCCCAGCCCCAAAGACACCCAAGCAGAGGTCAAGGGCTGCTCTCAAACACAGAATGCTGGACACAAGAGCCATGACCCATGTGCTCTCCTGTTGTTTCCTGGGAGGGCCAGGCTGTCCCGGGCTGGCCCACAGGAAGACGCCCGGAAAACTGTGGAGAAGGCAGCATTCCTGACAAGTGAGGCACCTTCCGGCCCGGGTGTGGCCCGCAGAAGGAGGGGTGGCACCAAGCAAAGCCCTCGTGGGACGAAGGCAGTTCTGCTGGGATGGCCTCGCCCACAGTAAAAGTGCCACTTGACTGGGCAAACTGGTTTTGGCCAGCTCACCAACCCCAGGGAGATGCTGTTATTCATTGGCACGGCCGGTTCCTGCTGTCTGGTGTTGGGAGGTCACTGGGAGAGTGGTTTCTGGAGACAAGAAGATGTGTGCCTGAGGGGAACACTGGGCGGGCCAGGAGGAATACTGGGAGAGCCAGACAGACTAGACTGGCAGACACACGGTGGAGCAGGGGAAGGCCCAGAGGCATTCGGAGAGAGAGAGGTTGGTATCAGGAAGAAAAGCTATAAAGAGCATCCCTCTCAACAGTTTAGTCTGGAAGGGAAGAAGGTGAGAGGGACATGGGCATAAAGTACCCGGATGCCAGGACAGGGCTGGAGGGAACACACTTCCACAGGAAGTGCCTAGGCTCCCAGAAGTCCAGATAAAAGACTGCCAACAGCAAAACAGCCTCTGGACCAGGAGAAAGCCTGAGGAGCAGAAGGGCTAGTGGGACGCCATCACCCTTTCATTTCAAACAGGAGGGGGAGCAGGTGAAGGGACTAGTGGAGGTCAGACAGCCAGGGGTGACAGGAAAAGCACCAGAACTGACTTGTTTCCTGCCTCTAAACCCACTGTTCTCCCTGATCAGTGAGGCGGAAACGGAAGGGGGAGACAATCTCCTCCACCGCCTACTTGATGCCACAAACATTTCTGAGCACCTCATCCGTGCCAGGCCCCTGAGCACCTCCTTTCCTGCACTGTCCGAATAGAAAAAGGCACAAATTGCAAGAAACCCTGTCCACAAAGAGCCTCTGTGACGCAGGGCTCCGGCAGCTGAGCCAGGGTGGCTGGCACCTCCCAACGCTCCCTCACCTGCGCCCGCTCCTGGGCCAGAACCCCGGGCACAGCAGGCAAAGGTCTTGCCCAAGATCAGCTTAGGCCTCCATCCCTCTCCTGCTGCTGCAGGCTGATTCAGACCGAGGCACCGGCTGCTCCACATCTGACGGGGACACACACACACACACACACACACACACACACCACATAGACCACCCAAGCAGCTCCAAAGCCTTCGCCATCATCAGGAACGATTGCAGAAGAAAGCCTTCCAAATGCCAAAGGTCTTACCGAGACAGGTCCACGCCACAAAGACTTTCAGCCAAAGGGTTACCAGCATTATCTATATGAACAGCCCCATCATTTCTGGGCTGTCTGAGAACCTGCCATCAGACTATTTCACACAATGCTTTACCAAACGGGTAGTGAGTACTTGAAACTTTGTTTCCTTAGATTTGGGAGAAGCTGAAAAATAAATAGGATTTAAGAAAATCTCTGGTGCCGAAACTGGTTTGGCTCAGTGGATAGAGCGTCAGTCTGTGGACTGAAAGGTCCCAGGTTCGATTCCGGTCAAGGCCATGTACATTGGTTGCGGGCACATCCCCAGTAGGGGGTGTGCAAGAGGCAGCTGGTTGATGTTTCTCTCTCATCGATGTTTCTAGCTCTCTATCCCTCTCTCCTCCTCTCTGTAAAAAAATCAATAAAATATGTTTTAAAAATAAATAAATAAAAATAATTAAAAAAAAAAATAAAAAAACCAAAAAAAAACCTCTGGTGACTTATGAAGGGGAACAGGACACTGGGGCAATCACAGTCGATTGACCACTGGGCCTTCTCAGTGCCAGGTGGCCGCACAGGCTCTCAGAGCCCCAGGCAAACTTCTATTCACCGGAGGATGCCCTCTGCTAACAACGGGGAGTCCCAGCTAAACGTCCTGCGTGAACACGGGGTCCATTTCCTCCGGACTGTTCATCAGAAGGAAAATCAAACTAACTGGGACAGGCAGAAGCCCTGAGGGCCACAGGAGGGACTGCACAGGGGCAGGCTCCACAACGCAGCAACCAGGGTTCAGCGGCGCCACTTCACAGGCTGCCGGCAAAATCTGTGTCGGAGCGGGATTAAATGCCGAGGGAGCGCGCTTAATAGCCTGAGACATAATTCCCCAAGAAAAGCGGGGGGAGCCCCACTGCGCTAATCATTTCAATCAAGACCTGCCGAGCTCTCTGGAGACCGGCACGCAGGAGGCACCCTGCAGCGTCCGGCCTGGGCAGAGACCACCTGATTCCCAGGGCAGGTCCCCGGATGCGGCAGCGGGGCCGGCCTGCCAGAGCCAAGGGGACGGGAAACCAGCCAAGCCTGGAACAGGCACCTGGGAGGAACTGGGAAGAAGTCAACACCTTGCCTAGAGTCAGATCTGCCTTTCGACTCCTGGACTAAACTTCCGGGGCCTTTAAGTTTCCATTAGCACAGCTGGTGACAGCAGCTCCCCTTCTCGAGTTAAAGAATATATCTGGATGCCCATTCAGCCACTCCGCAGGACAGAGAATCGTGTTGGGTTCAATCACAGTACTTTTTCCGAGTTTCCAAGTTGGCTAGCCCCACCTGCCAGCCTACAGATTTGGGCATCTGGCTTTTTTCTGCAGACCAAGCAACTCAACTGGCTCTTCCTCTTCCCTAGAGTATGCTTTTGGTTCCCATAACCCCAGCCTTGGTTTTCTCATCTGTGGAATGGGATAACTACAGTACCCACCTCAAGGGGTTAAAGGAGATAATGTGGACAAAGCCCTGGACATGGTGGCAGGCGCAAAGCAAGCATCAGACAAATAGTAGCTCCTGTTTTAAGAACCAGCTAGCATGAACATACCTCTACATTACTGGCTGAATGCTCACTGGAAAGCATTTCTCTAAGGAAAAGCTACGGGCAATTTCCCTTTGGGACCACAGCTAACTGCTGGCCAACAAGGTCCAGACTTCTCTGGATCCAATACCATCCTGTGCTAACAAATCCTGGTGAAACTGACAAACGGACGTTTCCTCTTTCTCAGCTCTAATCTAGGCGGAACCAGAGAGTAATAACCAAGGGGCTGACCAGGAGGGAAAGGCACAGGGAGAGCTGAGCTGAGCTCTAGCGAGAAGGGACAAAGGTGCTCACACACAAAGCTTGGCAACATGGAAATTCTCTGAACGAGAGAGGGATGGAAGTTCAAAGGGGCTTGGGCTTGTGAATCCACCTGGTTGAGAGAGAGAGAGAGAGAGAGAGAGAGAGAGAGAGAAAGAGAGAAAGAGAGAGAGAGAGAAGGAGGAAGGGAGGGGAGAAAACAACAAAGATGGAAACCCATGGGAGCAGTGGCTATTACCTGAAGACCATGAGAACCCTTGACAAGAGACGGCTAGG